AGGTATATATATATATATATATATGTATGTAATTGAAATCAATGAAAATATGTATTTATAAATAATTGTTTTTATATGAAACTAAAAATTATTGTATAATAAATATTAACTTGCATAACGAGTGCGTGCACACCGAATTCCTATGTATTTGCTTTCTACTATCTAAATATTTATATTGCACATATATCTAAAGTACTATGTACATGAATAATGTATTTTATGTTAGATAAGTTGATAATAGTGGGCATTGTTGACGTGATTTGATAATTAATAACTTTCAAATTTTCTATCAATATTTATACATTTGAATGAACTTGATAGAAAAATAATTATGCATTTAATTACTGTGAAAATTAAAAAAAATCATTTAAAAAAAGGTTTAACGATTAAGAATACATTAACCATGTTTAAGCGCAATAATTGTACTCTTAAGAGGAGTAAAAACGAAAAAGCGTGGCCGGTAGCGAACTAAATCTTTGTTTCTTCCTCTGCCCGAAAAGGACAAACACGCGAACTCGAGAGTCACCGACTGTTAAAATACTTGTAGGAAAAAACGTGCGGTTTCCATAACGGCCTTCACACGCTTATTACCTCAAAATAAATTCAAATTTTCTAAAATATCGGATTCAAACATACATTTTACCCTACTAAGAAAATATAATCCTCCACGTGGCAATATGGTATGATGAAAGTGGGATTTCGGTGGACCCCAACAAGATTTATTTGACCCAATTAACTATCGAGATGACTTTTATTTCAAAATTAAATTAAATTAAACAGAAGATAAATCTGAATTTAAGTCAATCTATCCCATCAAAAATTCCTATGTGGGGTCCGTAGCCTTAATCACCCACCCACACGTCAGCGCGCACGCTAGCTTCCACTTCACCTGAGGTCCTCCACAACGCTCGCTGTCATGGCGGATATTGAGTTTCACTTCATCTCCATCACCGCCAGTACTTCACGCGTGTTGCACTTTCTGTTGAAGTCCCATGGATTTTTGAACGTTGAACGCTTTAATTAATCTCCTCCTCCCTTCATTTCTCTCTATAAATACAGTCTCGAACTTGAACTCTCACACCTTCAACACTCTACACGTCTCGTAGAGCAAGTCCAACACACTGTAGAGTAAATAATTAATCATCCAGCTCTTCATCTCCTGCAACAGAAATGGGATTTGGTGAATCAGAGGAGCAACTTCTGTCCAAGGTGGCTACTAATGGCGGTCATGGTGAGAATTCGTCTTACTTTGACGGGTGGAAGGCTTATGATAGAGACCCATATCATCCGATTCAGAACCCTGAGGGGGTAATCCAAATGGGTTTGGCTGAGAACCTGGTGAGCTACATATATACATCATGCATATATATATATATATATATATGAAGTATGAAGTAGTTGAGCTCGAGCTCCAAGACTAACTATATATAAATATGGTTTCATTTGAACAGCTATGCCATGATTTGATAGAAGAGTGGATAAGGAAGAACCCGGCGGCCTCCATTTGCACAGAGGAAGGTGTTTCTCAGTTCAGTGCCGTAGCTAACTTTCAGGACTATCATGGCCTTCCAATCTTCAGACAAGTATGTAAAACTTGCTTAAATGCTTAGCAGGCATTTTTGCTGCTCATTTTGTCTTATAATAAAAGTTAAAGTTTGTATATTGCACTATAATATTAATTATTTATGTGTACATGCAGGGAGTCGCCAAGTTCATGGAGAAGGGGAGAGGAGGGAGAGTGAGATTCGACCCGGAGCGAATAGTAATGAGCGGAGGAGCCACCGGAGCTCAAGAAACGCTGGCTTTTTGTCTTGCAGACCCCGGCGATGCCTTCCTCATTCCGGTTCCATATTATCCAGCGTAAGTTCTGATTAGCTTCTCGTTCCCTTAATTAAGAGCCTAAGCAGAAGTAATAAATCTATAGATTTCAGTATATTTCTTAAAAATTTTATGAGTACTGCGCAGTCAAATAAACGATAAGTACAAATACCCGTGTGATTATAGTCATAAACATGACTAAATTTATAAGTCCGAGTTTACGATAAATGAAAAAAGAACGGTTTTATAAAAAAACTAATACTTTGACCCGTTTTCCGTAAATTGTTCCTGAATATGAACACCAATTTGCTTAAATTATTTCAAAATGAAAACTTTTTTAGATCGATATTTATATATTTTGGGTTAAAATAAATTTAAAATTATTGAATTTATTTTAAGATAAATATAAAAAAATATATATGAGTTCAATCAAAATTTGCATCTACTAGTCTTAAAAATAAATTCAATCACTTTGATCTGAAAAATAGATAATTTTTTTTCCATTTATACTGACATTCGGCAGATATTCAGCTCATAAAAAAGTATCCTAACTAACTTTATTATTAGATGTTTTTATTAAAATATTCTCTACAGTTACGTACAGCGTTCAAGTTCATTTGGCCAACGAGGAATTTAGCCTCTACAGCTATCTAAACCAATAAAACAAAGCTCCCGACATCATTCATTTGTGTCCCCTAAAAAATACAAAAAAATCTCTAAACTATGTCCCCTGCTAAAAACATCTGATGAATATAACATAGACTCATAAGCCTCAATCCAAAAAATGTGCCACAACTCACAATTCTCCCATTCTTGTTCAGATTCGACCGCGACTTCTGCTGGAGAACACGCGCACGTCTCCTCCCCATTCACTGCGACAGCTCCAACAATTTCAACATCACGACGTCCGCCCTCGAAGCAGCCTACCACCAAGCCCAAAAATCAAACATTAGAGTCAAAGGCATTCTCATATCCAACCCCTCCAATCCCCTCGGCACCACAATGAGCAAACAAACCCTTCAAATCCTCCTCCGCTTCGTCAACGAGAAACGCATCCATCTCATCTGCGACGAGATCTTCAGCGGCACGGTTTTCAAGTCCCCACGCTTCGTCAGTCTCTCCGAGATCGTTGAAGCGGACCCCACCATTGACCGCGATCTAATCCACGTGGTCTACAGCCTGTCCAAAGACCTCGGTCTCCCCGGCTTCCGCGTCGGCGTTATTTACTCGTACAACAACGCCGTCGTGGCTTGCGCGCGCAAAATGTCGAGTTTTGGGTTGGTGTCGTCGCAGACGCAGTATTTGCTCGGCTGCATGCTGGGAGATGAGGAGTTCACGAGTGAGTACTTGGTTGAGAACGCGAGGAGGCTTGCGGAGAGGCATGGGGTGTTCACGGCGGGGCTTGCGAGGGTTGGGATAAGGTGTTTGGAAGGGAATGGGGGTTTGTTCTGTTGGATGGATTTGCGGGCGCTGCTTAAAGAGGAGACTGTGGAAGGAGAGCTGGAGTTGTGGAGGGTTATTGTGAATGAGGTGAAGCTGAATGTGTCGCCGGGTTCTTCATTTCATTGTGCGGAACCGGGATGGTTTAGGGTTTGCTTTGCGAATATGGATGAAGAGACGACGGAGAGGGCGCTGAGGAGGATAAGGGTGTTTGTGAATGGGGAGGGTGAGGAGGTGAAGATGATGAAGACGAAGAAGAAGAAGAAGAATGGGTGGGATGAAGAGTTGAGACTGAGCTTGCCGAGGAGGTTTGAGGAGGATTTGGTTTTGACTCCAAGGCTTATGTCGCCGCACTCGCCGCTTGTGCGCGCCACCATTTGAGCTCGAGGAATGGCTTTTAATAAGTATAATATATATATACTTATTATTATTTTTTATGCATCGGATTACCTACATGCATATATGTTCATGGGTTGATTAATAATGTATTTTTATGTTTAGTTCTTTTTTTCATGTAGATGGCTACCAAATTCGTAGCAGTTCTGCATGTTTGTATGTATCATGGAATTTGTTCAAATGCTGGGTAGTTGGTTGAATGAATTAAGAAATATTATTCAGTAAATATCATGCTATTTTTCTTGTGATTTTATGTAATGTGGACTGCGCATGTGATGTAATGTTGTTATTTTATAGATTTTATGTGTTAAGTCTTATAAAGAATTGAAGAATATGATTTATGAAAGGATGATGGAAGGATTTCTTACTGGCTTAAATAGCTTTTTTTTTTTTTCAATGATTTTCCTTTACCGTATTTACACAAAATACATGAAGAGTGAAAATGAAATGAATATATATATATATATATATATATATA